AGTTTGTACTTTTGGCCAGCTTTTTGATACAAATACTCCTCTGTGCGACGTTCGGATGTGATGATGGTGTAGGTGTTATTGAATTTGTTGCAGATTTCTCTCCGGAGACGTCGACAGCAGTTCGAGAGAGATCAACAGCACTGTAAGCATCAGCTGTATTTGCAGGCAAGACATAACTATTACCAGTGCTAACAACATTTTTATCAACAAAATCTTTGTCAGCTGTCACTGTTTTTAGCTCTGCCTATCTTTCCCTTTTTTATGCTAGCGCTGCAATGTAGTTCCTTGACCTCTGATGTGAGCGAGGTAAGCGCGCCAGCAACCACTTCGTCATATGCAGAGGTGGGCACTACCACAAACAAGCGTGAGCTAAAAGTGAGCATGTGTTAGTGTACCTAATTCATTTTGCATGCTGTCGTGTTCTCATCGATGCGCTCTCGCTTGTATACGTACACGCAACGCTTACGCTCTTTTAGCACCTGCTAACTCTCTGCCCATGCCTGGTCATATAGCTTATGTAAATTAAGAAGCTCGGAGCGCACAAGTTCTAAATCGCCCAATAACTTATTTTTGTCAACTTGCAGAGAGTGTATACTGCACTTGCTTGCTCCAGAGAACGTTTAAAACAGAGAAGCAGCAACACGCTACTCGTTGGTATTTTGTAATAGATCAGAAATCGGCTAGAAGCTCACCACGTTAAATTTTTAACATCGATAGCTCTAGAATCTCACCATTTTTTAACAGCGTGAGCGCAGAGCGGCGCAAAATTAACAGAAATTGCAATTGGAGCAATTGGAAATGTTAGCATTTGGTCGGAAAATAGATGCTGCAGGTGGATTACAACAAAGCTTTTTCTTTTGTTTGACATTTTCGCCAATTCGATTTCTGATTGAATTGAATTCGGTTATAATGTCAAACACAAAAGGAACAAGTCAACGGACTTTTAGTTTCCAGAATTTATTCTGGCGGCAGCGTATTTTTATAACGCGATCGAATCGTGAATGCAGAAAGTCGGTCCTAAACGCGAAAAATGGACGGAAAAAAGCGAAAATGTCGTGTAATCGGTTGCGTAAACCAACATCCAAACCTACGTTTTTTCAGGTTCCCGCTGGACAAAGCCGAAGCAGCCAAATGGAGGGACAACCTGAGGATTGGAGCAGAGGAGAAGCTTCCACCCACCTACTCCCTGGTATGCAGCCAACATTTCGAGCCGGAAGCTGTGGGAGGGAAATACCTGAAGAAGGGTGCCCTCCCCACCCTCAACTTAGGTGAGTAATTTGTGCTTATATATATGTATGTACGTATGTGCACGTACATGTGTGTTAATTTGGAGTTACTTTTTTTTGCTGTGAAAACGATTTTTAATTAAAAAATACATTTTTTTTCAATGATTTGTACAAAAAAGTGAATTAAAATCGAAATGCTATATACAATTTTCTGATATTTGTGATATTTTGGGAAAATTTTCAAATAGAAAATCCAAAAGTGTTAGATTTTTTGTGAAAATAATTGTTTTAGTAAAAAAAATTTAGTTTTTTTCGGTGATTTGTGCAAGTAACGTGAAATTAAATCGAAAATATTATATAACATTTTCCGATTTTTGCGATATTTTATTAGTAATTGCAAATAGAAAACTCCCATAAGTGTGCGTTTTTTGTGAAAACATTTTGTGATTAGAAAAATCCTATTTCTCTTGTGATTTCTACATATACCGTGAAAATAGATCTAAAATGTTATATAGTATTTTTTCGATTTTTATAATTTTTTGTTAGATTTTCAATTACATTTATTGGTGTTAGTTTTTCTTTGTAAATAGCATTTTTAGAGAAAAAATAATAATTTTTACGGTGATTTGTACAAACAACGTTAAAATAAACCGAAAATATTATATACAATTTTCCGATTTTTGTGATATTTTCAAGAATAAAACTGTATTGGTGTTGGATTTTTTGAAAGAAAAAAACCAAAACCTGTGAAAAGAATTATTTTCCTTTTTTTTTGTAGAGATCTCCCTAAACTAAGTCGAAAGTGTGTATGAATTTTTTCCATATATTCGATATTTATGGAAATATTTCAGTTTTTCATTATTTTCGACTTAGAATTTTTTTTGGAAAAAATCCAGAAACTGTGGAATAAATTATGTGTGATTTTTTTTTAGGAGATCTTACGAAACTAAGTCGAAAGTCTTAATGAATTTTTTCTATATTTTCAATATAAATGGAAATATTTCAGTTATTCATTATTTTCGACTTAGATTTTTTTTTAGAAAAAATACTAAAAATCTGAAAACGTCGGATTTTCCTTGGAATTAGGAAAGATCTCGCGAAAATAAGGCGAAACTATTCAAGAATTTTTCCCATATTTTAGATATTTATGGAAATAACTAAGTTTTTAAATCTTTTGGACTTAGAATTTTTTTGTAAGAAAACCCAAAAACTGTAAATAGATTTATTTAA